TGGCAGATTTGTGTAAAAGGCCTGCCACCACAGCTTGATAAAAACCTAGAGGAAACACTGAACTCAAACAGGTTTAGAAGAAACAGGTTTAGAAGAATTAGTGAGGGAGGACATGGTAACAGGTGATCTATACCTTCCCAAGACCAATAAATTGATATTTCATGTCAAACTACCGGAGAGATAAGTGAAACTAAATTGCCAGTCAATGCAAATTGTGCTATACAAATAAACCTCACACTATTCCTCACACTATTTAAAGAGCAGCTATAATCCCCCTTTTTGCAAGATGTAAAATGTGTTAGTAAGACCAGCAGGGGGGTGCTCAACCTGCGGTCTGTGTGGGTCCTAATGCCCCAGTATATTGATGTGGACTCTATACTGCTTAGTAAATGGCATCTTTCGGATGAGATGTTAAACCGAGGTCCTAACTGTAAGTGGTCTTTAAAAATGCCAGGATGTCATTCGAAAAAGAGTAGGGGTTTACCCCGGCATTCAGTCCAAATTTGCCCAGTGGCCTCAGTCCATCATGGCCTCCTAACCATCCCCATATAATAATTGGCTTTATCAGTCTGTCTCCTTTCCACCAATCAGCTGGTGTGTGGTTTGCAGTCTGGCACAATATGGCTGCCATTGCGTCATCCATGTGAATGCTGCTCACTGGTAGTGGATGAGGAGATACCCCCCAAAAATGTGTTAAGCACTTTGAGTGTACAGAAAAGCTCTAAATAAAGTTATTATTCTTATTATTATAAAATATAAAATTATTATTATTACTACTAAATATAAAACCATTATTAATTATTTATTAATTTTCTTTTCGGCTTAGTCATTAAAAAATATAAAATTATTATTATTATTATTATTATTATTAAATAAAATAAATAAAATAAAATAAGTCTCTGACATCCCTAGAGTGTGTATGTGAAGTTTCAGCTAAAAATACCACATAAATAATGTTTTATAACTCTTTGAAATTGCCCCTTTTAAGCATTGATCCAAATTGTGCTGCTTCAGCGACTGTGGCTTTAAATTCAAATGAGATTGTGCTCTTTTTAAAAGAGGTGGAGCTACATTAGCATAATGGAAGATTCAAAACAAAACTACTGTTCTTTCTGCGAAAAACTGAAAATGTGAAGTGTGTAAGGCAGAATATGGAGACTAGTGTTCATTCGAGCATCCTAAAACTCCACGATTATAATCCTCTTAGTCACTGACATCAGACGGCTGCTTCTCACTCAGGGCTGTTAATGCTAATGAGGGAGAGATCATCACTAATGAGTGGGACTTTTCCTGTCTGATGACATACACAAAAGGAGAATGTCAAACAAACAGTTTCTGCTGATTTTTTGTTATCAAGTGTGATTATAAAAAATAGTGTTAATTAATTTTAACCATTAGAGGCTGGATATATTCACACACTGCTGCCGCACAACTGTGTTTAAACCACTTATAAGAGTGATTTTTTTTTTTTTTTTTGCATAATAGGTCCCCTTTAATGAATAGAAAATGTATTAAAAACAAAATGGAAAAGATATAAACTTCCACAGCGTGACAATTATAATCAGTAAATAAATATGTTGGCATTTCCACATTTGCAGTATTTAGCTGCTATACTGTTTTTAAATTACTCACTATGTATCACTATGAACTGTGTCCGCCTATGAAATGTATCGGCCAGTGGGAAACACTGGAATAACTCATTTTGAAATAGTTTCCGGCAAGTATTGAAGAGCAAAAGTAAGGCTGGAGTCTGATCCTTGACACCGGAGCCTCTACTGGAGAGCTGGCAGGAGGTGACAAGCCCCGAGCGGCTGGAGGATGAGATCATCACGGCGTTTCACCTTTATCCCTGGATACTGCTAATTAGAGCATGTGGGAATGTTTGCCATGCTGCCAGGGGTTTTGGGCACTGACGACATTTAGCAGGCCGGAATCCCATCATTACATGAAGGTGCAGGTCGATAATCAGCCTTAGGTTTAGCACTGGACTGCTCAAATATGTGTGAAATTTGTGGCTGTAATAAGAGTAATCGTGCAGCTGAGACTTTATCCGACTGTGGCCACATGCGACTTCACTTTGGGCTTGATTTATATGAAATATCATTCTTAATTTGGCATTTACTAGTGCTTCAGTTGATGTATTTCTCCAAGTGCTGGAAATTTATACCTTTATCTTACTTATAATATTGAAAATTGTTTTCAAATTACTTTCGTTTTAAACACTTACTAATAAATGACTAAAACCAGAAGCTGTTTGTTCATATTATTTAATTCCCCCGAGCTAGCATGAGCTGTTGCAAAAATGGTATTTATTATTGTACATACAGTATATTATTGAGGAAAAATAAATACTTTGACAAATTACTGTTAGGTAATGTTAAATAATGCATTAGTAATGTTATCTAATGTACAATAACTATCCAGTGTTATGATTTATCATTAAGATGTGCACAGATATATTTAAAACATTTCCTTTTAATGTTGCATATTTCATGTTTGGGTAGTTTTTAACTCAACTAGATTATACATTTGAACAAGACATTCGCATCAGAATAAACTAAACCTATATTAGTTATTGAAATAGCTCTATTTACGATTGTAGAGTTTAGCCCTGAGCAATGTTCCTATCAAGCAGTCGTTTCTCCTGAATTTCAAAGGAAGAGGTGACTGACTGTTACAAAAATATTGTTCCAGGATCAACAAAGAGCATTAATCCAGGAACACGTCCTACTTGGCTACATGTTTAGTGCAACTCAGAATAGATTTGACCTCTCATGTACCCTGAAGCAAAAGAGCTTTGATCAACGGTGGATTTTCATATTGTCATGAAGCCAAATGATGCCACAATTTTTAACTCAGCTGCTCAGAAAATAATTCTAATAACTAAATAAAGAATAAAAGTGAAAAATAGATACTGTATTTGAGCTACATTTCAAAGCACCTTGACAGCTTTAAAATGTGAGAATGCTGACCATTTGGACAGGTTTGCAACTAAAACCTTGCACAGAATCTTTGTTTCACCACGACAACATTTAGAGAGAATTGATGCATTCATAAGAGAAAATTGTCATAATTACAGTAGCTGAAAGATTGACCAATTTCTAAACATTCCACAGGTAAAATACTAAAATGATCCCACATTATGAACAGAACTCAACATACTAAACGGTTGTATGTTGGGACAATAAACAGTTTACTCAAAAAATAATAATAAATTGTGCATTTATTTGCCCTCCACACATACAGTCCAAAGCTCTGAGTTTTTTTCGTTTTTTCAACACATGATATTTTGAAAGCTGTTGGTAACAAGTGGACGCTACCCACTGACTATTGTATTTCAGCTGTACTCCACTTGTTACCAGCGTTCTCTATTTTGATTTAAGAGAAAAAAAGCATACAGTTATACAGAATTAAAACAAAATTAAGGTAAGTAAATGGTGAGCAGAATTTAATTTAAGGCGGTCTATCCCTAAAACTGACATTGCAAATCTCTACCATATTTAATAAGTATGGATATGTTACAATGTGCTGTTTGTTTACATTTGTAAGGTCTGAAGGAGTGGAAATGCTGACGACAGACCAGTGAATTTGCAGATCTTGTTATTTAAAATGTTTAGATAAATTCTACAGCATAACATACAGTTGAAGTCATAATTATTAGCCCTCCTGAATTATTAGACCGCTTGTTTCTTTTTTCCCAATTTTCTGTTTAACGGAGAGAAGATTTTTTCAACACATTTCAAAACATAATGGTTTTAATAACTCATTTCTAATAACTGATTTATTTTATCTTTGCCATGATGACTGAAAATAATATTTTACTAGATATTTTTCAAGACACCTCTATACAGCTTAAAGTGACATTTAAAGGCTTAACTGGGTTAATTAGGTTAACTAGGCAGGTTAGGGTAATTAGGCAAGTTATTGTATAACAATTTTTTGTTCTGTAGACAATCGAGAAAAAATATAGCTCAAAGGTGCTAATAATTTTGTCCCTAAAACGGTGTTTAAAAAATTAAAAACTCCTTTTATTCTAGCCAAAATTAAACAAACAATACTTTTCTCTAAAGAAAAAAATATTATCAGACATACTGTGAAAATTTCCTTGCTCTGTTAAACATCATTTGGAAATTATTTAAAAAAGAAGAAAAAAAATTAAAGAGGGCTAATAATTCTGACTTCAACTGTACATTCATAAGCAGCAAATTTTAAGCTATATAAATTAACTCCAAAGCTTATTCCAATTTAACTAATAGTGTAATGTTATTTCCATGCATTTCCTGGTATGACTAAATCCTTTAATCTTAAGTTAAATCAAACTATTTGCATAAGTTTGAGTGAATAAGCATTTTTCTGTTGTAATTTGGAAAATGTACTTTCAATTCTCAAATAACGGAAGACCCATTTGCTTAATTCCAAAACATTTTTATCCTCAAAAATGTATTACCATATGTTAGACTTTTCTGCATTGATGACAGTGACAAGCTTGGTTGTTTTTAGAAATCACCTGGAGCTTACAAACTGTGAAAATTCCAGTTGATTTTGACAGCACTTTATGATGTATCAGATCATTATCGTAAAGCATGGAGTGACGTTAAAATAATATTAGCGTTTATTTAAATATATATTAACATTATAAAGTTAAAATTCAATCTGGAATCTAAAACGCACCTGCTCGTTTGATTCAATATTGAACACAGAACAGAAATAGAACACATCAGCACTGTGACAGATTGTGCAAACTCAAATAACCTCAAAGCTACACTTTCCTTCAAAGGAACAGGCATAGTTTTTGTAAGTTCGATTGCTGAGACCTTTTGCCATGATAGAACAATTCTCCCTAAGTGCTCATTCACCACCCCAGGAAATTAACATCTCAGGTGCTTTAAGTAGGCAAATGTGTGGTGGGTTTTTTCAAGAGGTCTGGATTCTGATGGCTGAGATGGAAGAGAACCATTAGAAACATGAGAGCAGTCGGATGGCTGAAGGAGGCCAATTACCTGTTCCTTTGTTCCGGTCCACAAAACAGTATTTCAGCTCATACTCGCGCAGAATTTCATGGACCTCCTGGAAAGGACACAAAAAAAGAGAGAAAAAGTTAGCTAATTAATTCTGCAAAGTACTGTATGTAGCAATATATAATAGTATAAAGTACAACTTCTTTTTGTTATACAAATTAAATACTATAGTTAGTTCCTTAAATGTGTACGGCAGAGCATTGTTCCTGTTTCATTAATTGTCAAGTAAATGGTGTGAAGCCAGAGATAATAGCTATGTTTCCATCCACCTAATTTTTATGTGACCTTTAATCTATAGATATAAAACAAACTTAAATGGTAATGCCAAGACGCTCATAAATTTTAAAAATGCGCATAAGTTTTAATAAACTTTTTATCTGTGTAAACAATTTTCATAATCTACATTGATCATCAATGAAATTTCCGTTTTAACAAGTCATGTGTTAAAAAATGGGCATGATGGAATGGCACTAATGAACAAATTAGCTGATCAACCACCTTGCAAATATGTAATGTTATTTTTGGTCATTCTAAAACCCTTGGCTAAAGTCCGCCGTCAAAGTGATGGTTGGTAATGATTTTATTCTCCTTTGGCTGGATGAAACAGTGCTGTTTTTGCTAAAGTTTTATGCAATAATCCAGCTTTTTTCAATAGGCCTAATTTGGATCTCTGGATGTAGACATAACTAATGTTGTGAATAAGCAATATACTTGACTAATAGAATACAACATTACTACTATAACAGTATTCATTCATTCATTCATTCATTCATTTTATTGTCAGCTTAGTCCCTTTATTAATCCGGGGTCGCCACAGCGGAATGAACCGCCAACCCATCCAGCAAGGTTTTACGCAGCGGATGCCCTTCCAGCTGCAACCCATCTCTGGGAAACATCCGCACACACACTCATACACTACGGACAATTTAGCCTATCCAATTCACCTGTACCGCATGTCTTTGGACTGTGGGGGAAAACGGAGCACCCGGAGGAAACCCACGCGAAGGCAGGGAGAACATGCAAACTCCACACAGAAACGCCAACTGAGCCGAGGCTCGAACCAGCGACCCAGCAACCTTCTTGCTGTGAGGCGACAGCACTACCTACTGCGCCACTGCTTCGCCTATAACAGTATTATTGTACGAAAATAATAGAATGATACTATACTATATTACTAATATACTATTGTTATTTTCTCAATATGCAGACAGTATACAATTAATTGTACTTTTCTAATAAAATACTAACACATTACTAAAATACACTACATCATGTCTTTTGAGACACTGCTACATAAAATCTTTAAAAACCATCTATTTTACCCATTTTTAAGGTTTAAGTCTTATGTTTCTCCAGAATGGTGACAGAGTGGCGCAGTAGGTAGTGCTGTCACCTCACAGCAAGAAGGTCACAGGTTCGAGCCTTGGCTGGGTCGGTTGGAGTTTATGTGTGGAGTTTGCATGTTCTCCCTGTGTTCGCGTGGGTTTCCTCTGGGTGCTTCGGTTTCCCCCACAGTCCAAAGACATGTGGTATAGGTGAATTGGCTAGGCTAAATTGTCCGTAGTGGGAATGAGTGTGTGTGGATGTTTCCCAGAGATGGGTTGCGGCTAAAAGAGCATCCGCTGCATAAAAAATGTGCTGGATAAGTTGGCAGTTCATTCCTCTGTGGTGATCCCGGATTACTAAAGGGACTAAACTGAAAAGAAAATTAATGAATGTCTCCAGAATGTGTCTTTAAAGTTTCAGCTCAAAACACCCATCAGATTATTTATTATACCTTTCAGAATATTGAAATTTTCTACTCTGAACACAATGGAGCTGTTTTTGTGCCTTTTAATGAAAATGAGCAAGTTTTACCCGCTCACCGTTCCCACGTGCCTGTCAGAGTGTGCCTCAATCCCCCGCTGCGTCAGATAAACAGCACAGTGACAGACATAAAGGAAGCAGATCTCACAGTTGTGAGAAATACTACAGTAAGAACTTTCCCAATGATTATTTGATGTATTTGTTGTGAAGTTAATACAAGCCTTTCTGCAATGAGTCACACACAATGTCGTTACAAAGTTCATGCACACACACCCCCATAGACACACGGACACACATACACACAGCATGCGTGTTTAACTTTGCACTCTTTTTGCACAGCAAATGTGACAGGATACACGTTAATATACCCTGCTGTACAGATATCCGTTATGTTAATGCACAAACTAACCTGATTTACCATCCACAAAAGAGGATTGAAGCGTCTTTTTTTATAATTGTACTGACACTATGCGGCTGTGGTGATGAATCACAGCAATTTTACCATCCTTATTACAAACATGCACTGTTTTAAACTTGTAAAACTCATTCTTGAGGTGCAGATGATCACAGGGAGCTGAAAAGATCTTTTAATCCCAGTTGTTTTGCGCACGTCCTCTCTTGTTGGTACGATTATACACGTTACTACAGAGACATGTTAATATGCGGCTGTCAATCAATTTAGTGGGCGGAAAATTCGAACTCCTATTTCTCGTTGTGGTGAGCCTCAAAATGAGAGGGAAATGGATCCTGTTTTAACAACAGGAAATTAAAAAAACTAGACTAGTTGTCTTTATATCACCTCAATATGACTGTGGACACACAATACCTGCACACACCTCTGTCCAAAAGGCTTACAAAAATGATGGTGCCCTTTAGGAAAAATATGTCAAGGTATATGCTCAACTTTATTTGCTAAACCTGTTCAACTGCTTAATAACACAAATACCCTGTACATGGCAGTAACTTAATGCTTTTAGGCATGGAAACATAGTCAAGATGATCTGCTATAGTTTCAACTGAGTGTCAGAATGGGGAAGAGAGGTGATTTAAGTGACTTTGGACATGGCAACTGTCTTATTGACAGGCATGCTGCCATAGTAACCATATTTCTATTTCCAGTAGGTTAATGCACAAAGTCACAAAGCCCACATCATCCCAAAATCACGAATCATGTAAATATGGACTGAAATCTCCCCAACGTGTACTTAATAAAGTGGCTATTAAGTTTAAAGGCTAATAATAGGGATCTGAACAGACACATAACTCTCTCAACAAAAAGATAACTTTATAGGGCAATAACTTCTCTGACATGCACATACATATAATACATAGCTGATTTCAAGATGATTTCATTTGTGTGAGGATTCAGGAGGAAAGAATGTTGGCATTTTATGTGAGAAATGTTGCAGTTGGCCTCCAGCCATCGTTTAGAGAGGGAAAAAAATGGACACCAATAATGTCTCTTTCAAGAAGGTTTCTTTATTTTCTACATAAATTTGACTAAAGGTGCATTAATACATGTATTGAAAATTTTTAAACACAATAAATTATCAGATGTTAATTTATCATAAATCCACTGATCATACAGATAAATGGATCACTATATAAACAAATGATCCTTTTCCATTATGAAAATCAATACAATGAAGGTCTGGCCTTGAAAATAAAGGTTTACAACCATAGTCATGCAAAGAAACACTGTCTGCTGTTTTCCATCAGATAAACACACACACTTTCTCATAAATCTCTTCCTCTTCCCTTTTATGCACACAGCAGGCCCTGCTGTCACATCTCCAACGTGTGCTAAGAGAGATAAACCAGAGGTGCCCACATTGTCTTTGTGTGTTTTTTTTTTTTTCTAGCTGGTCATAAGGAACATCCAGAAGGACACACTTGAATTATGACAATGGGACTTCTGAATTCAGCAGGAGACATGACACACTGAAACAGTATGAGGCTGTTAATGTGTACTGTGCAGATTTGCTCGTCGCTGTGAGATGTACTTTCATGTAATGCTGGCAGTCTATGAAACATTCACAAAGATTTTCCGAGGACCTAAAACTGAGATTTTCATGAAGACTTTAAATATGTTTATTCTTTCATTCATTTTCTTTTTGGTTTATTCCTTTTATTCATCAAGGATCACCAAAGCAGAATGAACCACCAACTTATCCAGCATATGTTTTACACAGCTGATGCCCTTCCAGCTGCAACCCAGTACTAGGAATCACCTATGCACTCTCATTCACACTCACACACATATAATACGGGCGATTTAGCTTACCTAATTCACCTAGTGCACATGTCTTTGAACTGTGGTGGAAACCGGAGCACCCAGAGGAAGCTCACACGAATACGGGGAGAACTTGCAAACTCCACACAGAAACACCAACTGACCCAGCTGTGACTCAAACCAGCAACCTTCTTGCTGTGAGGCGACATTATATACATTATATATATTATATAGCCTATATATATTTTTTGAAATGGCAAAGATTCACTTTCTTTGCCATTTCAAAGAGCAGTATGTGCCCTCTCTCTCCCTACTCAGTCAACTTTCTTGACAATACAATATGCATCAGTTATGGTGCTCTCTTAACACACAGCGCATTACAAATGCACGGTAATGGCCCATAAATGGCCAGAAAGCCTGAGTGAGCATCCAGACACCATTAGATATGGATCACAATGTCAGGACCAGCATCAGCCTGCTATGATTCAACTGAACATCTGGGATGAAGGCTAACAGAAGGGGGGGTTACTGCGCACGATTAATGTCTCTGCGCCTTCACCAAAGAAAGCAGAGATCATGCTGCATGTGACTTAATCAAATGCTTCAGAGACAGTCTCGGTTAACAAGGGGATTAGAAAACTAACAGCAAACTTAAAACTAAAAGAAAGAGCAATTTATCCGAGAGTATTATTATGCTTACTTGATAATCGATCTGTAATGCTGAGAACTCAAGGCTGCTTTATTGTCTCTGGGAAACATGGCCAGATGAGATGTGTTTTCTGAATGTGTTGGAGAGCAGTGACATTGATGAATGCTGCTGACTACTATACATCACTATACGTCTTTTTTTAATCTGCAGTGTGTAGAACAAATTGTGAATTTGTCATTACCATTCAATAAGATCGCTATGCTCCACCCTTTTGATTACTGTTGCAAGTACTAGACAGACAGACAGACACAGACAGACAGACAGACAGATATACATTTTGATACATTTTTCTTAAAATATT